ACAACAACAATGCTACCAGAGCTCCTTACACCAGGACATATGCCCAGCAAAATTGTCTATCAAATATGATGGTGAAATTAGTTCATTTTCAGATGAACAAATGAAAAGGATTTTTGAACCTTACAAAAAATACTAAAGGGAGTTCTTTGGACTGAGGACCGACAACAGCAGACAACAGCTAGAGACTAACATATATGACAATATCTCTTGGAACGCAACCCAGATATAGAAGGATTCAAAGTAAAACAGGTCTACAAGACTAAAAAGAGAGAACGAGCATTACAGTTGCAATAACAACAAAAAAGCATAAAGTAAAAAGGAAATAATGTAGTTACAGAACTTCCAAATGAAAGTCTGCTTGGAATCAAGTGGACTTCAAGAAAAATAAATAAAAATAAACCTAACTGTAACTCTAAAAACTAGACCACGACTTACTTGTAGCCCTGGCCTTCTTTGGTGAAATGACTATTCAAACCTTTTACCCATCTAAAAAATTGGATTGTTTGTCTTAGAGTTCTTTGTTTGTTCTAGATATTAAGCCCCTATCAGATACAGAGTTGCCAAAATATTTTCTCCCAATTTATAGGTTATTGTTTACTGATAGGAAAGTATGTTTCATGAAACCAAAAATTGATTGCTATATGGGTAGACCAGTAGAGCTAGTCAAATTATTTTTATATACCTGTTGTTGTTTGCCATCACGTCAATTCCAACTCATAGTGACCCTGTATAGGGTTTTCAAGAGTGACTGGTGGGTTTGAAATGCTAACCTTGCAGTTATAAGTCCACTGCTTATCTTACAGTACTACACCTACAAGAAGCAAAATACTAACAATTTTTCTGTTTTTGTTTTAGACAAACTACCCTGACAGTTTACATTTTATCTTTTATTGGAATGATTATATTTACTTTTACACTGGACCTTGGATACCTCATCATTGTGTTTATTACTGCAGGAGTACTTGGGTAAGCATTCATTGTTTTTAGGAGGAATGAAAGCATGGGTTAATAATTCAGAAGTATTACTACTGTGGTTTCAAATTTATATAAAGATTTTTTTTTAGCAGTTTAAACTTTAGAGGATCTGCTCTGTGCATATAAATGTATAATTCTTTAGAACTGTAAAAAATAGTTACTTTTTGATACACTTTAATTGAAAAAAAATGAATACCTTTTATTAATCCTGTGAACTTTAGTTAGCGAGACAAGTAAAACAAGGTAAATTTTTCTCAGGAAAAAAAGTAGGAATTGTCCTGCTCCCTTGTCTCTGTGACATTGGACTGATTGACCAATAATACTAGTCTTTATTTCATGGGCTGTTATTGTGCCGTTGAGTCAGTTCGGAATCACAGTGACCCTGTATAGGGTTTCCGAGAAGCTGCTGGCAAATTTGAACCATGAACCTTGTGGTTAGCATTCCAGTGGTTACCCATGGTGCCACACCAGGACTCCTCATTTCATAAAGCAACTTGAAAATATTCACTTATTTGATGATTAGGATAGTCCTGAGAGGCAGAGGGACTGTATCAATATGTGATGTTATCCTGTCAATAATGCCTTCTCTAATTCTGAACTTCTTTCCCTAGCTTCTTCATGACTGGTTACCTTCCCCTGGGTTTTGAATTTGCTGTTGAAATCACTTACCCTGAATCTGAAGGCACTTCATCTGGTCTTCTTAATGCCGCTGCACAGGTAATCCTACAGGTTCTTTCTCTTTTTTAAAAAACTTTTTATTGTGAATTGAGTGAAGGTTTACTCCAGTTTCTCCTTTTTTTCCATGTTTTATTGTGAATTATATATTTTACATGGGAGAACTTTAGTTTTACATTCATTCCACCGTACGTTGTTTCATTGCTATGGTTCCAATCTGAGGGGATTGCATCATCAACCTACCAAAGGGTATACCCTATAAACCCGCCCCCTACACTCCCCTCACCCCC